CTCTTTCAGTGAGGGACATGCTGTATCATCTCAATTAGGTCTCCTAATAAAGTGCTGCACAATGCAAAACGCTAAAGCAACTTGGGGGTTGGAACAGGATGATCTTTAAAGCTCCTTTGAACCCAAACCATTGTATGATTTAACTTATCTGAATTTTTTTTTAGGTGGAATGAGCAAGTGACAGCACAGGCTGTATTTGGTCCTACAGTTTTCAGTACGCCAGTTGTTAAAAAAAAAAATAAAAATCTGTTGCGTTAGTCACTATGGTCATTAACAGGGAGACACTTTCAGCATTTGCCATCTAAAAGTCTACAAATTGCTCTATAAGTTCAACTCTTTCAGTTTTGTATTTGAGGACATAAGTATATATTAATACTTACCCCCATTGTAAATAATGCAGTTGTGCAAAATCCATTTGGCATCAGCCAAAAATGCTTCAGTGCAACCGTACATTTTCTTTTTAACATTCTGTAAAGAAAAAATTAAGAATGTATCAGCAAACAGAAATGAGTGAAAAGTGACAGCTTCTTCCTGAACATTGTTTCCTATTAGTCATACAATTAATAAAACTGAGAAGTACTTATTTACTGTAAGACTTATGATTCTAAATACTTAAGAACCTGTCAAATTCAAGGTGTCTTTTGGCTGCCCTGAAAATGTATGAACTGTCTAAATTAACCTTAAATAATGAATTACTTAGATCAGCGTCTTCAACATTTCAAAAAAAAAGTGTTAATTTCCTGTAGCAATGTTCCATTCCACGTCTCTGCAGAAAACAGTCTGATATGTTACCACTCCACAACATTTTTATTTTTTAGTTTTTACAGGACCCAAAAGAAATTATTGGTCATAGTACATTAGACAGCATGTTTGATATTCCAGTCTCCCACTGGGTAAAGTAATTTGAATAGATAAAATCAGTCACATGGTTTTGTTACACCTTTACACCATAAAGGCATCATGCTCCACTGTAAAGACATGGAGAACGAAAACTTGCTCTCTCTCCACCAGGTCCTAGCAGAAAAAGCTCTGCAATGCTTCACTTTTCATTAAGCAGTGGAGAATGGAGAACCTCTTCATGATTTGACACTCTTAAATTATTATTGAACTGAGAGTAAAAGTCCCATTATCCACCTCTTGGCTGTTTCTTTTTTCTTCTACATCTCAAGTGCAGTGGAGATTATGGTATTTGTTGAATGATCAGTAAAATGAGCCTGGAAAGTCCCCTGGATATACACTCAAATGGTCCCAAACTAATGGACTAGTGATCCAATAAAAGCTTATAAGCATGACGACCAAATGCAGACCCTGGTTAATGAAATCTCTCCACAGGATCATTCCTGGAATTAGATGAATTTATACAGGGGGAAGTCATCAGTGTAAGCTTGGCTTTTTCATACTATTTTTCCTGAGCATTTGTTACTGGTTCAGACAAAACAGTGGACTTGTTCAATTGGCATATGATTGGTTTTAAGCTGTAACTGAGCTGGCATTTATAATAACAAAAATAAAAAGCATCAAAATAATTTCAAGCAACCTCTCTCCCCAATTTCATCAAACATGCCAGAAATCTTAATGATGGCAATCAACTCAAGGAATCTTCTTCCTTTAGCTTCACACAAACCTTCTCTAATGTACAAAGATCCATTGGATGAAAGATATATTCTGCATAATCTGGGTGTTGATCCAGTGAAACTGGCTTTTGAAATGGCTCTGTCTGTTAGGAAGAAACAAAAATAGTAAATTACACTGCTTAATAATGCTGAACAGTTTCATCAATGACACAATACTCATTCATTTTCTAATGCTACTTCTAACTGTGATGTCAGAGAAAATTCTTTAAAGGTAATTATAAAACTTTGAGAAGTAATAGAGAATTGGCAGAACAAGAGAAACAGAAAGGTCTCATTTAACTGATTTTTCACATGCTGGAAGTAACGAATTTGCAAAAGTTAGAGATTTTGTAAAATGTATTGTTGTAATTTACAGTAGAGTGTTTTTGTGAGGAGTATCAGATGAGGCTCAACAGCCTCTTCTTTTTCAGACTCTCATTGGAATCAAAACTTTCAAAACAATGGTGGCTTTGTAACGCAAACACATTGAAAACATTTACCAGTGGAACTCCACATAGTATCTGCTAATGTGGAGGGACCTCAATTCTTGGAACACAACCAATTAAACTACTCAGGTACCAAACCAATAGGTTATTACTAAAATGTGTAAAGGGAAAACATCTCAATAGCATTCATTGAACATTAGCTTTCTAAACACATTTTCAAAATATTTGTGACTTCAAGATAAACAAACACTGACACTTTGCTATGGAATAGCAGCACTTAAGGCTTCTAATGGCTCCATCTAATAGGATAGTGTTCTCCACTCCAGAGTAAAAGAATTCCAAGAGCCAAAATCTGTCAGTATTTAAGAGTAACCTTCCCAGAAATTGTCACTCTTGTTCTGCTAGAATACTTATCACAGAGAGATGAGAGCTGCAGAGCCCATGATTTCGCACATCTGGTGTTCCCAATATACTTTACTGTAACACTGCAGGCACAGAGACACCCTCCCTGCTCCTCTAGCTTGTGTGCAGGAACAGGGCGACAATAAGAGTTAAGACAACTCTTGGTAATTCATCACTTTGTACTTGGATTTACCGTTATCTTCACATATGTGAAAACTAGGCAAAGCTTGCATACTGAAAAACAAGTGACTAGAACTGTTGAAACTTAGAAGCAAGAATGAGTAACTGGAATAGCTGAAACTTCGAGGCATGGTGACTTTGAGAAGTGAGTATAAGGCGGACATATGAAGACAGGTACAAGTTGGAGGAAAACCCATTTTACCTCTGTGATAAAAATTCATAGAACAGCAGCGTCATATTGCATGAAAGTCAATGGCACAGGTTTTCACCACAGTGAGGAAAATTTCTTCAGCATTTTAGAAGTATATGATACAACTAACTTTTGTGGTAAGAACAATTTCTACTAACAGATAGAAGCTAGGTTTTCAAGAAGTATAATCAATAACACAACAGTATCTGTGCCTAGGGTTCCTGCCCATATAACTGGATTGGTACGATATCATGTCTCCTCATGCCTCTTGTATCTCAGAGACATTGAGCAATGTCCACTTTCAGAGAGAGATAAATCACCATGTCCCACGGGAAAGCCATGTTATGCTTCCACTGCACCTACTGAAACTACATCCAGAAGTTACATCAAGAAACTATAATTTTAACGCAGTCCAAAACACCATATAAAGCCTAACTAATCTGTCTGAACTAGAGAGGAGGCAGACAGCACAGAAGCTGTCACAGAGAATCTAATAAAATAAACCAGGTTCATAATCCACAGAAGGAAGCAAAAACCAGGATTATGACAAACATATGATCCAAGCATTAAAAAAAAATAAAATAATAATCTTCCTTACCCCTGGCTGTTTCATTTTCTGTAGTGCAAACTTCAGTAAATACGATAGCTGTTCAATGGTGAGCATTGTCATAGCTTTACTCTGAGTTTCTATGCATTCTGCGACTGTGATTTTCTAAAAGTTAAGATTAAAAATACTTTGTCAGCAAACATTTCTTGGTAAATTCTCTGCTGAAACATTCTAGCATTCAAATGGAAGACAATAACTATATAATAAGAAACAAAACATTTCTGATGATGCAGTATAAGTACTTCAGATGCTTGTTTTACTTGGTTTTTGTTCTTGGTATGTTAATCAAAAACAAAACTAAAAGAAAGAAGAAAAAGAAAGGGGGGAAAGATCAGAAAAGCATCCATTATCTTCAAGATCATGCAAAGTGAACGTGTGAATACATAAAACTCCCAAATATAATGCAGGTTCACAGCAATGTGAACAAGTGAGAAGGTCACTTGGACTCTAATACAATAAGTGATCAAATTAAAACGTGATAAACCAATTTACTTTCATTAAAGATACTTTGATGTTAAGTATTCTCTCCTCAAGTATCATTGGAGAGGAATGATTAAACCTTTCCTCAGCCCTGCAGAGAAAAAAAAAAAAATAACACACACACACACAAAAAAAACCCCAACAAAAATCCCCCACTTGTTTATGTTGACCCTACAGTGCAATTTTTCTGCACTGCTGCAGAACTGATGAGCCCACTAGAAGAAGCACAAGTTAAACTAGACAAAACTGCAGAATTTTTCCAGAATTAGAGGTGCCTGCTGAAGATATGACTCTGAAATGGTGCTTTCTCTAAAGATGGAAAGACAAAGGAAGCTGAAGACTCGTGGTGAGAAGGCAAACACAATCCAGGTACACACACAGAAAAAGTGGAGAAGGAGCAATGGATGCCTCCTCTTCTGTACGAGTTTTTCTGGTACCTTTACCAAGAGACAATATAGGAACAAACCAGAAATGTTTCAAAACGCAAAAAACCTGCTTGTATCTCACAAACAAGAAAGAAATTTGCTCCTTATATCAAACTAACCTCACATTCTGGGCAAAACCAATCCCCCTCTGGTTCCGCTGTCAGTTTCAGACACTTAGCATGATAAACCCGAGGACAGAGTTCACAGCAGAGGACTTGGCCTTCCCGATGACAAACCCAGCAATAGAAATCATTCCGTCCATCCTGTGGTACAACATCAACAGGGTCTGTGGTGAGTGGCTGCTTCATATAGTAAAACGGACCATGTCTTAGTTCTGACTGAAATGTAGGCAAGAAAAACAGGTTTGGTTTCAAAACAAATTTGCATTTTTTCAAATAATAATATTCATAATATATAAGTAAACAGTAGTTTACAGAGTTTGATTAACATTTATGCAAGCACAGTATCTTATTCATTGCACAAAGTCATTCATAAAGAGGTTAACTTCTTATTCAGATGTCAAATACTAGTTAACACTCCAGACTGAAAATAAATTTTTGTGGCAAGTGAAGGTATCAAGTGCAAGACATGCAATCCCACAAAAGTCAGTAAACACTTTTGTCTTCAAGAAAGAAGTTTTGCTACAGAAACCATTAGGTCCTCTAAACTCAGAATTCCAAGGGACTGTGCAAGCTACGTACTGAGATATTTAGTGGTGGCTAAAGCTGAGACAACTGAAGAAGTTAGTCCTGAAACAAGAAGTTTAACACCATGCAAACCTGTCCTAAGTTGCAGCAGTTCACAACTTTGTACAATGAAGCAAGCCAGTGCCGATTTTGATTTTTAAGGCAAACGGTAGAGTAGGATGACAAAGGAGCAAGTTCACATCCTGAACAGCCTCCTCTGCTGCAGGAGCAGGAACACTGGGAGAGATTTAATCCACCATCTAAATGCACGTCAGAATTTAAGACTCGCAATCTCTACTGGTTTGCCTGCACTAGAGAACAGTGTTAACTTCGTAAACTGCATGAACTGGTCTTCCACTTGAGCCCCAGACAGTTCAAAGATGACATGGCTGATGCCAAAACACAAGCAAAGACCCTGGAATGGATAAAATGGGCCCCCAGATAACTAAAGCTTGTTAGATCAGCTTTGAAGAGTTGCGAGCACTTACTGGAAAACAACATTCTCTTTATTAACGACGAGGCAACGTTAAGTTTTCTGTTTGGTATTAATTATAGGGGTGGTTTGCTGAGGAGGGCATAGAAGGAAACAATCTTGAGGTTTAGGCAGTTTATTTAATTTGATTCTTTTGTTTGTTTGATGTAAAACCATTTGCTCATGACATTACTTGTAATTATCCAAATGCTTGTAGTTTGCAAAACTGTTTTGTTTGGTTCTCAGGTAATTTTGCATGCATCCTACACCATTTACACATCTGCAAGTTCTTAGATCCTTAAGCTGTCACATGCCCATGTGACTCATAGAACAGTGCAAACATATGCATGTTCCATACCTTTGCAGCATCCTGTACAAAATTAGTCACACAAGGCATAAAATAACGTCATCAGAAACCACCAGCATGCCAGCTTGGACCATGATATTTCTAGATTTCTAAAGTTACAAAGGATAAGGTCTAATTATTTGCATGAATACAGGACCTTCAAGGTCAAATTAGATGACACGGAAGCGACAACCCAGCTGAAGATGATGTATCTCAAAAGATACACCAGAAGAGAGATCATCTGCAGTTGTCTAACACTAGGTAAAATCTTAGGCAAAGAAAGGATGTTACCCACAAACATTCCCAAAGCATTCTGCAACCTAAAGTTTCACTCAATTTTCTATTAGTTTTGGTGTTTTTCATTTTTCTACTCTACAGATGATACAACTACTGAAAAGATACTTTGTTCCCACCATGAAAATGGGTAGTGTTCTTTTCTGTACTTTCTCTGTATGTATATTTAATCATTTAACATGACAAGACTTTCAGAAGGAAGGTTCTATGAGATCCTGTGGAATAAGAGGGACAGCATAAGGCTTTAGCTACATTTCAAATGCATTACTGCTACAATCATTCAAACACATACAAACGCATATGGAAACCCGAGGAAAGAAGGGAAAGTCACAATTTACAGTGCAGAAACATGTTTTGTTTGCAACTATATGCACCACAGCTGTGACATCAAAATCTCAATAGTGCATTTATGGAGATGCAGCTATGAGGCTTTTCCTCCACTGCAGCAAAAGGAAATTACCAGAAGAATTTAATACATATTCTGCCTTTGAAGTAGCATAAGCAGTATATCCACACTAACTTCCTCAGAATCAAAGATACTGCTTTAAGACAAATACAAAACCTGTAAAACTGTTCCACAGAAATCGGCTCATAACATTCAAACTGAACAGAAGTCCATTTTTGCTAGAGCATGAGAGGAATTAATTTTACGCTGAAGGATGCTTCTATCTTTTAGATATCTAGTACCTTGTTTTGTCTAAGCCAAAAACGATTCAACTGCACTTTTTCACTTGTAAAACATTTTAGGAGTTTAAATTTTAACAGTTATGAAAGAAAAGCTTTGTTTTCTCATCTGTTACACAATCAGCCAATTCGAGTTCAAACAGGTGGCAGCTTGTTCTGAAGTCTGTATTAAAGTTATTAAGACCTACAGAATGATACAGAAAACTGAAGAAAAAACAATAATATTTTCGTGCTGCTTTGGGAAGAAAAAGATCACTGTTTATATTCAGTTTAAATTAATATTGAAGCTAGTAGTAAAACAAGCTGACAATTTCAATTACATTATAACTGACCATTTCAGCGTCAGAAGTTTCTGATTTTTAACCTGTCTTAGCTACATTCTACAATTCCATAATTCTTTGCTTGTATTTCAATGCATTAAATACCTGTCGGCACCATTCTGAAGATCTGCTACTGCATCCACAACATGGAATACAAAGCTTCATGCAACTATAGCTTTAGTAAGAGTATCTCGAAAAACTCAAATATTACAAAACACTTTGCAATGTAGAATATGAAGTTAGAGGTTTCCAGTAATGTTGTCCTACCTCAAAATGGATTTATCAGCCAATCAGAACCACAGCTATCAGCTACATTATACTTGAAACTTAACCTGAGAGCAAAACAAGTAACTGTATGCTTCGCTCACATCTGTTCAGCAGCAGAAGAGTCTTTAACAACTGCTGCTACCATCTAGAGCAGAATTTTGCACCTGCTTTAGAAACCATCATCTTTAGGCATGCCCATTTCAAATTTGACATGCAAGACAACATTAAATTAAAAACAACTTGCAAAAGCTAAACAAAACAGATAATATTTTCTTGCTAACTTGTAACAACAGCAACATAAGCAAGTCTGATTGCTTTTCTTCATTAGATATATATTTTATTCTATCCTGTAATATTTCAGGTCTGAGATACCTGGAAAACAGAAAAGGATTTACTGCAGGGAATGTATGTATCAAGTTCAACAGCTGAAATTGTGTTTTCACATGTATTTTTAAATGCATGAATAAACAGTGGAAATTAATACTCTAAGATTCAATTCCACTGTTTGCAAAATCATCTCTGCAGTGCACAGTTAGCAGCTAAGACTTCAGTGGGACAAAATCTCTCCAATAAACATCCAGGATGTAGAGGAATTTATTCTAGCACAACAAGACCATGACTTCTCTTACCTGCTCTTTATTATTACTGTTCAATAGACCAGGTTTCTTTTTCTTTTTTATAGGACTTGTTGATGCATCTTGTGGTGAGTGGCCATTAGAGGAATGTGGAGGGCTGGGAAATTTCCTTTTTTGTGCTGCACGTTCGGCAGAGCCAGGATCTATAACAGATAACAAACAACATGGCTGAAGAGCACGTATCGACAAAAAACATTCAAGCAAGGTTATGGTTTGCCATTCATGAACAAAATAAAAATTCTCAGTTGTCTTTTACCCAGCCACTGACAAGACTGGAAGCACAGACTTGCTAAGCAATGCCACTGTTAAGTGAATTCTCAATATAGTAATTTAGATTTTTTTTTTTTTCTTTTCCCACAGCATTCTGGCCATTCATCTCAAATTTTAGTTATCTTTTAAAGTGTAACAACAATTATTTCTGTAGTTCAGCAGAGTGCTATGCTAATTTATGTCATACGCTTTAAAAGCAGAGAAACATTATCAGTTCCTGACAGTTTCACTCATGTAATTTAGGAACATAAGAAACAGAAGTGAAAACATGGTAAGAAGAAAGCCAATCTTTATCATTTCTTTCTCATCTTTAAATAAACTTATTGAAATATGTCAATAGAAAAAATGAAATTGTCCTATAGTCTGAAAATAAACAGTCATTTGGTCAAATGACCTTAAGTCATTTGTAGTACCTGCTAAATTGCATTGTAAAAAGACAAAATCAAGACAAGACTCCCAGTTAAGTAGGAACTTTTGACAGCAAGATAGAGCAACAAACAGAAAGTGACATAACTTCTCAGTGCCTTTCACAGTCAGAGTTCTCACACTCCACCAAGCAGATTACAAGAGCAGTTTAGTTAGTCACAGCTTCCATCTATGCCTGAAGTTACTATCCCAAGTAAAGCTCGCAGAAGGGAGCATGTGCCTGTGTCTCGATTGCTCATGGATTGTCATCTTAGTGTAAACTCATCACATCAGCAACTTAAGTAGCCCTGGTGGCTCTGAACTGCATTTCATGAAACGTGCAAAATTCTTGAAAAAAATAGAAGGAAATTGAGACAGCTCTATCAAATGAATATCTATTATGACAATTTTCATGTCTGCTTTGCTCCTCCAACTATGCTAAATTATTTGAATTTTTCAAAGATTCAAAGAGTAATTTTTTTATATGCCCCCATTCGCTGCACAGCCACACAAACGTGTGTAATGCATTCGGCAAAGCAGTTATGCTGGGTGGGAATACGCAGCAAGGAGGAGATATGCTGCTGCTGGTGTTCATGTCACCTTGAAGTTGTATTTTTTCAAACAACAGGTTTTGGCAGCTATTTAGCAGAGGCCAGAGGCAATGAAACTGCTGGTTGCCATGATCTTATATCCTTTCCCTCTTGGATTTGTACTCTTGCCTTCCAGGCCTCACTGAGTGATGGGCTGAGCTTTTTCAAGTTGCCAAGTCACCAAAGCCTCACTGAAACATTTCACCTAAAGTCTCCAATGAACACTAGAAGTACCAAAACAACAATCACTAACTGGATCAATTTATCAGAGCATGTCTATTGTCAGTAGATTTAAACTAACTATAAAAAGGTCCACCAAAAACACTGAAAGTTCCACAAATGTCCAAGCGGAGGCCAGTGACAAGTGGTGTTCCTCAGGGGTCAGTACTGGGACCAGTGCTATTTAACATCTTAGTTGGTGACATGGACAGTGGGATCGAGTGCAGTCTCAGCAAGTTTGCAGATGACACCAAGTTGTGTGGTGTTGTGGACACGCTGGAGGGAAGGGATGCCATCCAGAGGGACCTTGACAGGCTGGAGAGGTGGGCCTGTGAGAACTTCATGAAGTTCAACAAGGCCAAGCGCAAGGTCCTGCACATGGGTCAGGGCAATCCCAAGCACAAGTACAGGCTGGGTGGAGAATGGATTGAGAGTAGCACTGAGGAAAAGGACTTGGGAGTGCTGGTGGATGAGAAGCTCAAGATGAGCCGGCAATGTGCGCTGGCAGCCCAGAAAGCCAGCCGTGTCCTGGGCTGCATCAAAAGAAGCGTGGGCAGCAGGTCTGCCCCTCTGCTCTGCTCTCGTGAGACTCTAGCTGGAATACTGTGTTCAGCTCTGAAGTACCTAGCACAAGAAGGACATGGAGCTGCTGGAGGGCGTCCAGAGGAGGGCCACGAAGATGGTCCGAGGGCTGGAACACCTCTGCTATGAAGAGAGAGTTGGGGCTGTTCAGCCTGGAGAAGAGAAGGCACCGGGGTGATCTTATTGCACCTTTCCAGTACTTAAAGGGGGCTACAGGAAAGCTGGAGAGGGGCTTTTTACAAGGGTGTGTAGTGATAGGACAAGGGGCAATGGATTTAAACTGAAAGAGGATGGATTTAGATTAGATATAAGGAAGAAATTCTTCACTCTGAGGGTGGTGAGGCACTGGACAAGATTGCCCAGAGAAGTTGTGGATGCCCCATCCCTGGAAGTGTTCAAGGCCAGGTTGGATGAGGCTTTGGGCAACCTGTGTGTCCCTGCCCACGGCAGGGGGGTTGGAACTAGATGATCTTTCAGGTCCCTTCCAACCCAAACCATTCTACGATTCTATGAAATAGAAAAATACTGAAAACCAAAGCACCAGACCATTTCACATAGGCAACGGACAAACACCTTTCTCCCACAAAGGCCTACCTATCTGACTTTTAACTACTTATTGAATTAGACAATTTTGTTGAGTGACAACATTCCTCTCAGGGAATGATTTTAACCTATTTAAGGAGTCTCGCAAGCAATATGGCCACTGACACTTTCTCATCAGAGTCTTACAAATGAGCTGGTAAACATTGTTTAGCTCAAAACTGTATTCAGAATAACGCCCTGTCAAGTTGAACAGTTACACAATCGCATTGAAAAGTAGGGCAATTTGTCACATGGCACAATCTTAGAGGGGCTATGACACAATAAAGAACTGAATTAGATTTTTAAATGACTTTTGTATTTTGTGCAAATGTGTAAGGGAAACAGTCAATAAGGAGAAATAAATATTGGCTGCGATAATAATTTGCACAAATAGAGCTAAGATTAACAACCTATGCACTTTTCTCTAAAAAGAAAATAAGTATTTGCAACAACAGTTGAGCGTGAACTGACTATGAACAAATTATTTTTTTCTGTTGTGAAAAAGGACAAATGATAATGATGTAAAAATAGGAGTGATACATAAGATGTAGTCTTGATGTTAACCTTGGAATGCTTGCATATATGCTTAAGTTTATTGAAAACAATACATTATTTAGTGGAAAGAGTGAAACAATGTCAAGCAGCCACACAATAGTTAACATAGCAAAACATTTTGAAAGAATGTGCCACTAAAACTTATTCATGATGCAAGCGTAAGAAGTGATCTGAAAAGGTATTTCTAGACTAAATTGCATTCCAAGAACTTACACTATTTACGTGTATGGAAGAAAATACGAAGAAAGATGGAAAAAGTGTAGTGGAAGAACTTCTGTGCAAGAAAATTTGTATTGGTCCATAATTATTTGTGAAAACACCAATCTTTCCTACTATAATAAGCATCACACTTTCTTCAGATAGGTCCAGACACATGAAACATGTCATTATTACCTAATTAGCTGTGAACATTACCCTTGGTTCTGGTTCCTGAAGCTTTTCATTTTTTTTTCCCCAAATATATAAAGCCATGGTTTCGACTTCTTTCTACACAATTCTGTGGAAAATGTGGTGCTATACAGCGAATTCTGATTGACCAAAAGCTTTTTAAGGTGTGTCAAGATAAGAATTAAGGATCAAGAAAACTATAAATAAATATGAAAAACATATGAAAAGATAGATGGAAGAAGGTATAACTGAGGGAGGGAAAAGAAATGTAGGAGCATTTGACCATCCTGAGTTCTATTCATGTAGAATAGCTGCCCCAGGCTAACAATGCACATAATTTCAACAGTCCCAGGAAGTGACTGCCACTAGTTATGCAGGCACAGCTATTTCAGAAGTGCTGCCTAGCAGAAATGTAGTATTGGCTCCCTGAGAAATTTTTCTGTTGACATAAGTAATAAAATTTTGGCAAAACGTAGTTAAGCTGATTTAAACAAACAAAAACTTTTCATGTTTCGAGTTTTCTTTCACAGTAAGCAATGCAACTTATTTTTCTCCTTCCCACCCCTCCCATTTCACACTTGTAGGCAGCGTTTAGGACCAGTTAGTTACTTCTGACAAGCCGAGGCTGAATTAAACCAATACAATGTCTCTCAGACCGTTACTGTTACTTGGCTTGTTTCAATCCAAGCAAATCCGTCTCCCACTTAATTTAGGCCAAAATTTAGACTGATCTGGTAATACAAAGAATTGCCAGGTAAGGTATGTCACCTAAATGTGTGGAAAATCTAATGTCTGTCTCCTTCACTCCTTAAGCCATTATGACAACAAAAAAACTAATACAGGTACAACTATGCTGACAGAAGACTTGGGATTTTTTTTTTTTTCAGTTTAGCTAATTATGCACAGAAGGTGGCAGAAGAACTCCTTTGGCTGGCATATGCTTCATATATCCCAAGAGAGTTGAGCCAATACAGCTATCCTGGAAGAAACACTGCAGCATCAGTGTCAAAACAAAAACTCACAACTTAACCAAAGCAATCAAATCTAAAACCAAAACAAGCTCTGAATTTGATTTTTTTCATTAAAGTTGAACAGGGCTTATTCAGCATGGGAACTGTTTGCATCAAGAGTGATCAGCAAAAATATCTTTTCTCATCTTTCTGTCACCACTCAGAACAGCATGCACAATGTAAGTCTTTGTTTCTTTATTATAATTTACAGTTCTCAACCGAGACTTTCCATACACTCCCTAAAGGCAGTCATAAGTAAACTGCTCTTACTGTGACGTTCTGACCATGCCTTAATCCTTGTTTTCCCAACGCAGAGAGATCTGCAGAATTGTCTCTCTCTACAGCAAACAACATCCTCAGAGTACTTGCAAGGATCTCTGGGCCTGCGCTTCTCTCCATCAAATAAAGCGCCCACCATAACTCACTGAAGAGATTTAGGGTTTTATTTCCAGTCTGTACATACGCGGGCACAGCTTAATCCAGGAGGGTAACAGGCGAGCACAGTTTTCTGTCCTTTGACTCCCACTTCCCACGCCCAGGCAC